CACACACACAAATGAAAGAGAGACGTATTTTGTCGTAAAGGCCAACCTGTTCTTTTTCCAAAAGTGAGCAAATACTCAATCAAACAAAATGACAATCCAACGTTTTGAGACTGTATCTATTATCTTTTGAGCATTTAATTAACGTTTTTCAGAAATATCCACACAGAAATGAGTTCTTTAATGGGCATGAAAGGTGTTGAGCCCAAAAACAAAAATTTGATACAAATTCACAAACCTGCAGAAAAATGCAACTTTCTTCACTTTGATTATTTTGACGAGAGCTTGATTCCACCGCGCAGCCTCACATAATTTTTGGAAGATGTGTCAAGCTCAAATCAACAAGCGATGGGCGACCATTAATTATCCTGTTGACGACATTTACATCCGTCCACAAGTGTGCGCATCACATTCATTCATACGACCTTCTCCGTTCTTATCGTCGTGCCACTTGCCTCGCGGTTGATGTATCGGAGAACTGCAGGGCTATATTTTCCCACTTTTTCTCCCTCTAGCAATCCCTCCTCCTCCTCCCACCGCAAGTGTGGTGCAAACATAGGACCGCCCTGAAGGAAACAACAAACAAACAAACAAACTCACCAAAAAGCCATCCCAACTGAAACGTTCATTTCCGTTTTCCCGCCTCCTTATCGTCCACAAATTTTATTTTCTCTCCCCCAAAGGTTACAGTCCAGTGCTCCAAATAATCGTATTTAGTGTTGCGAAGCGCACAAGTGTACCAAATAATCGTATTCAGTGTTACAAAGCGCACAAGTGTACCAAATAATCGTATTCAGTGTTACAAAGCGCACAAGTGTACCAAATAATCGTATTCAGTGTTACAAAGCGCACAAGTGTACCAAATAATCGTATTCAGTGTTACAAAGCGCTTGTGCGCTTCGTTGTCGTACATGGTAGATCCGAGTTCGATTCCCGAAAGGAGAGAACATTTTTGTCGAATACCTCGGTCTTTTGGCTGAAATGTTGTATCTCTCTCTCACCCGGGGTTGGCCCCGACAGGAAGGGATCGAAAGCCCGCTTCCTAAATGATCGAATTTGTGTCGATGAGGGCGTGGAAAACACAAATATATTTTAAAAAACCCATTGACCTGCCTGATTCTCGCCCACAATCTTCTGTCGTGCCAAATGATATGTAAGGCAGCGTGGTGAAATCAGGCGCTCGTCAAAATTGGAGAAACAGGCATTTTGCTCTAGTTTGGAATTTTTTAAAAATCGAATTCTTATTTCTTGGCTCAACCTCTTTCGTGTCCATATAAAAACACATTTACATGTGAATTTTACTGGAAAAAAATTGATTAAAGACGCCAAATAAATATGTCATTTTTCTTTTTTCAAGGACTCTTTAGCTGTTGGAGTTACCCAACTGTGGCGGCCATCTTCTCTTTAACTTCACCACTGAAATCAAGTTGAGTTCTATTCAAGATAGAATAGAAATTTTTTTCATTGAAAGCCAGGCAAATAAATCAGCTTTCAGATGAAACCAATAACTCCTCATGCCCCAAAAACTGACGAGCGCCTGATCTCACCTTGTCGTGACACATGTAGGGCCTACATTGTACAGTCCAGTTTACCAAATAATCGTATGTGGTGTAGAGGTTAGCCCGTTCGCCGTTCCACTAAGAAGACATGAGTTCGATTTGGGTGTGGGGAGATTGTTTTTTTTATAGAGTATCTCTTATTCTTTTTTTAAATCGAGTATCTCTGATTGTTTTTATCGAGGATCTCTGATTGCTCCTCTATTGAATATCTCAGTCTGTCTGTTGGGATGCTCATGAATACCTCTCAACTCGTATTAATCCTGACAGGCAAGGTCAAAGCTCGCCCCCTAAATATTATTCTAAATTACGTTGATGTGGGCGTAAAACACATACATAAAAATACAATTACGCGGAAGCATACCTTACACATAACTCATACACCTTGTATACACCCCACTACCCCTCCTCTCTACCTTGAATTGTCAAACATTATTTTTCTCCGGAGTCCAAGGTTAGTCTCGAAACATCCAAAGTTTCGAGTAGTATACAAGAGGGAGTGATAGCCTCGGTTTGCATCTATTAATAGCGTTCTAATTACGTTTTTTTCTCGTTGCTATCAGCAGGTTCCTTCGTAAACATTGGCAAGCTTCATCAGCAGATAAGATCCTTGTAGCGGCGAGAGAAACAGAGACTCGACAACAAAACACCCGAGCTTCTTATTGGCTGTCGGAGGAGTCACGTGAGCAAGATAGTGAGCACTATTTTTACTTTCAGGGAAAAAAAAAGATTTCTCTTATTTATTTCATGCTTCGTCATCTTCGGAGGACTTACACCTTCATACGCAGTTGATATAAAGAGACAAGCCAGCCGAAGATCAGTTTCGAAAGCGAGTTCGCTCCACGAGGTGATGGCTGGAAATATGGACAACTTCAAAGAGGACAGAAGAAGTGTGTGATCTTTTTATAACTTGCAGTGACAATTCTCAGGACTTTGAAGAAACAGTGCTCCTACTTGTCGAGAACTGATCGGCCTGCATTGACTACAACTTGTATTTCAATACATCCTTACTTTCTCACACCATTAACTGGTGAGACTTTTTGAGAAGGACACTTTATACGTGACAAGTCGCAACAACTTCTCAACTTCTGAAATTGTATGACTGTGTCAGCGGCTGCTACCATGGCAACAGCAATAACACTGTTCCTTCTCGTGGCAGTATCCCTGCTTTCGCCGGAGGTAAGTACGGCTTATTGTAAATATTTTTTTTTGATGAGGCATGCTGACAAAGACAACATGAGTTACTTCTCGCAATCCACGAATTGAGACTTTGGCCGAGAATAGACGGCACATCGAATTTGTAGATTTTTAATCGATGTTTTTTTCCCTTCAAGTTTAATCAGTCTTTTATCATTTCATATAATAACTTATGCAAACCCAACCTATTGATTTTATGTATATAT